GGGGATTGTAGTCCAAACAAAAGCATTCACCACGGTTTTCTGGTCATGTGGATTTATGATTCACTTCATACATTGAACAAGTTGATTTTGAGCAAAACAAAAAAAGTTTGGCTCCGCATGAAAATTAGTTCACAAATCACTCCCTCAATGGAACCCACTCTTAAAATAATAATAATAATAATAATAAATTGAGTCTCTTACTTTATATAAAGCTGTTAGCTACATGAGCGTAACATACTCATATTCAATACTTATTGTCTTAACCCACATATAACTCTTAATATTGCGTCTCTCAGCTTCATATACTCACAAACACTCGAAAATGACACAAATGTGGCTTCTTTGGTGGCCAAGGAACACATCTTCCGCTGCCAAACGACATATGATGACGATATTTTGTTCATATACATATTTCATAGAGAAGATCATCAAATTTTTAGTTTGATTTTCCCTTTCTAATTCCTTGAAAAAAAAAATCAGAAAGCTGATTATTATTGAGGAACTGATGGCTACTAATTAACAATATAATCCACCGAGTGCCAATATGGTTTTATCTACTTGAAGTCTTAAATACTTCTTCATGTTCTTTTTTAGTACTATCTTTTGGGGTGGGGTTATAATTGCAAAGTTGTGTTAAAGAGTATTGTCAAAGTTGTGTTCAAGCAAGCCAAGGGCTAGCAGGGCAGAGGAGTACGACAAATTTTCCTCGTTTTAAGAAAATCAAATCCAACTGCCTTCCACATTGACATTTGTAAGCTTTCATAGATTTAAACTACAATTTAAACTTTTTACTATAGTGTTTTCTCTTACAAAAATTTAAATTTATGCTCAAACCTATAAACCAAACTATCCATAATAAAATTAAAAGCCTGAAAGTTTATTAAACCTCCATCTTCCTCTAACTGGACAATGATACATAGGATAAAAGTCAGTTAAATACTCGGTAATTGAACTCCGCCAGGAACAGTTTTACATAGCAAAATCTAGTGACAAAAAAAAATCGTGTTTTTGGGGGAAAAAGCGCGAACAACTATTGAATTTTATCTCAAATAAGAACAATCATAGTAGAGCTTTCGAGAACTGCAATCTCAACTATTAAATAGACACACACAGGTTCAGCAAATATTGGCTATGAAAGTATACTTAAAACAGATGGGAACTTGGGAACTGGTGTTGGCCAAAAAGGATGCACTAGCGGAAAAACCACGTAAAATTTCTTCGCCTCAACAGGAAAGTCACCGATTTTCCTACTCCTAGATGTGATTAAGTTAAGCTCATAAACGTGATTCTTACAGCATAAGAAAACAACGTCACCATCACTTGGGTGGAAACCCACCACACGAAATTGTTCATCATCACTTTCATGTATACCAATCATATCATAACTCCTATTACGTATATAGTGCTTCAAATACCACGTATCAGCATTGTTATCATAATTCCTGAGTTCCCAAACTAGCAAAGTAAATGAACACTTTGCCATACGGGGACCTGAATAGGAGATCAACAGCCGCCCCTGGCACGCACCAAAGCATATCTCCTTCTGCAAGAAACAAATGCGTGGAAGTTCAGCCGGTAGATCAATGTAAAAACACGATTTTGATCCAGTAGTATGATCGAACGGATCAAATGCAATAATTCCTTTAATAAGTTTCACTCCCTCTATCCAGTGTAGCTTCCCATTGGCAAACACAACATGTTTCATATTCCAGCTTCCCAAATTAGAAAGCAGCGGCCGGGGAGATGAGACAACATACATGTTCCATTTTCCACTCTCGGAAGAAAAGACGGTTATGATGAATCTATTGCTACTGGAGAGAATAGCAATAAGAACTACTCTGTAATTGTAGCACTGCTCGTTGGTTGTGCTTTGCCATGCTAATCCGAACCTTCTATACTGGGGGCATCTAGGGGCATTTCTTGGAAGAGCATCAGAGGGTTCAGGAGGGTTTGGAAGTGCAACAAACTTTCGGGTAAGCGGATTACATATGCAGTAGTGACTCCGGGCACGCATAGAAACTAACAATAGGTCATTGTAACACGCCCTCACACCAAATGGAGTACTAGGAAGGAAACTTAGATAATTAGAAGAAGAAAGCGATGGCAGTCGTCGTTGATGGAGGATCTCAGATTTCTCAGAAAATACTGGAAATTTTTGATAAATAAAAAATTTAATCAACAAGGTATAGGGCATGGAGGCAGCAGAATTGAGCGAATGTTGGCGTTGAACGAAGCTGGAAATGAAGCAACTATCAGAGATGAGAAAATTCCAGAGCTTTGAAACAGCAAGGCATTTGATTGCAGATTGGCAGTCAGGAAGTAGAAGGAATATATGCAGCAGCAAATCCCGTCCCAAATTGGACAGAGTGGTCGAAGGCTTTTCAATCTGAGTTGATTTTCTTTTCCTCCTACATGGCACCAAAGAAAAGTTCTGATTTTGACCATTGTCATCGCCATTCACTTGGGAAGTCTGCAAACGTCCAGAATAAATTCAACTGCTTCTTTATTAATATGTAAATGCGTGTGTGTGCGTGCGTGTATGCATGTATATGAAAAAATACATAACCGAAACCAAGCAAACAGGGAAACCAACCTTGTGATTCTGACAAAAAGCAAATCCTCCACCACTATTTTTCTCCCCCATTTTAATGAGACGAGATGTGCTTGCAAAGAGCTGCGTCAAAATAAGGGGAGAAAAATCATAATAACTTAGAACCCCAAAACCATTATACCGTGAACAGACGAAAATCAATTTTATTTTTCTTATGGGAGAAAATAAATTCAATGTCAAAGCCTTTTCTATTTAGAGAGAGAGAGAGAGAGAGAGAGAGAGAGAGAGAGAGAGAAAACCAAAAACATAAGCTTTTGGCCGGCTAACCGATGACGCCGACCAAGCTCATCAAAAACTGAACTTAATTAAGCGACAGCACTATAACCATCACAGTTAGCGAATAGGCTAAGAACATGCCTCTTTCTCCGCCGTAAATTAAAAAAATAATTCTACAATATAACAAATTGGGTTTACTTACTTGTTTTCTGATCTCTTTTCAGCTTTCTCCCCAGCCAAACACAGCAACAAGTGAATTACGAACAATAAAAACCAAGAATAAATAACACGATGTCAAAATATTAATACCCTAGAACTTTATTTCAAAGATAAAACCCAAAAATACATAATACCCAAGATCGGCGCTGAGAAAACTCACCGCCCTTCGGAGCAGCGACGTGAGAGGAGCGGCTAAGGCCAACGTGCGAGCGCGAAGAGGAAGGAGCTGCGAGCGCCGAGCGCGAGGAGGGATGAGCTGCGGCCTGTGAGCGACGAGGGCGAAGTGAAGAGACGGCAGAGATGCGAGGGTGAGGGGCGGCAGCTGAACAGGCGTGCGACGTGAAGAGAGGGTGCAAGGGGTGAGTGTGAGACTGAGCGAGTGAACGAGACTTTTTTGAGTTAGTAATTTAAATGTAGGGCTGGTTCTTTGAGTCCATTTAATTTAAATTTTTAATTCGAATTTAGATGTAATTTTATATGAGAGTTTTTTATTATAATAAAAAAGTTAGATGTGATTATTTGTGAGAATTTTTTACTGTAATAAAACTCAAATTCTAAACTCGAATCAGCGAAATAAACGGGACCTTAGAGTTTAACTTGAGTATAATTCTTAAGTTGAATTTGAATTATAACTTAAGTTGAACTTGTAACTTGAGTTTGTGTTTGGTTGTTTACATTTGAGTTATGGTTTAAGATAAGAATCTTTTTGAGTTTGTGTTTGAGTAAGTCAAAACTTGAATTTGTATTTAGAAAATATTTTAATAAAAACTCAATGCTGATGAAAAATTTTAATAGGGTATATGGGTCGGATTTTATTCGTCTTTTCGTTATCAACGCATAAAAAAAATCATCTCAATCAGAATTAAAACGAAAAAGTTATAGCATTTTTAAAAATAGAAAAAATAATGTTCATTAATTTGAGTTTGAGTTTCTGAACTCGAGTTGAAGGGGAAACTTGAACTCGAGTTTTAGTCCTAAACTCGAGTTTGAACTCGAGTTTAAACTTAAAAGAATATGAACTCGAATAAAGTTGTAACTCGAGTTGTCTTTTTTTGAGTTTTTCACTCAAAAAGACAAGCCCGTAGATTTTGAGTTGAGTTTGAGTTATAACTTGAGTTGGAATTGTAATTTAAGTTTGTGTTTGTTTGTGTAAATTTGAGTTATGGTTTGAGATAAGAATCTTTTTGAGTTTGTGTTTGAATGAGTCAAAATTTAAATTTATATTTAGATAGTATTTTAATAAAAACTCAATATTGATGGAAATTTTTAATAGGGTATATGAGTGAAATTTTATTCGTCTTTTCATTGTCAACGCATAGAAAAAAAATCATCTCAATGAGAATTAAAACGAAAAAGTTATAGCATTTTTAATAATAAAAAAATATTGTTCATTAATTTGAGTTTGAGTTTCTGAACTCGAGTTGAAGAGAAAACTTAAACACGAGTTTTAGTCTCAAACTCAAGTTCAAACTCGAGTTTAAACTTAAAAGAACATGAATTCAAATAAAATTGTAACTCAAGTTATCTTTTTTTAAATTTTTCACTCAAAAATGAGATGCCAGAACAGCCCCTTAGTTTATATTAATAATGTGTGTGTTATGTTTTAATTCTTGTATTATTATTAAAAGAATATAATATATGAATGTAAAATCTCAAAAAGGAACCAAAACGTAAAAGTTTTAAAATTTTGACTTTGATGAGACTCTTTAAAGAAATTTATCGATAAAATATTGTGTTTTGATCGTTAAATTTTTTTTAACGGTCAGATATGTATAGAATAATTTTGAGTAATGCGCAATAAACTTCTAATACAAATCTACGTACATCTAACCGTTAAAAGTTTAATATCATGATCAAAATATAGTATTCTACTAGTGGATTGTTTTAAGAAATCTCACCATAATAGAGTCTCTAGTAAGTTTCATGGCAAGAAGTCAAACAAGGCTAAAAACGAAAAAAAAAAAAAAGACTAAAAGGAAGAAATAAATATATTTTAGATCAGAATGGATCAAAACAAAAAAAAAAAATAAAGTTTCATAGTAAAAATAAAAAAGGTATCAAAAAGGATAAAAAATAAATAAGTTTTAAAATAAAAGAAACCAAAACAGAAATAAAATAGAAATAAAATAAAAAATAAGTTCAAAAAAGAATTAAAAATAAAAGAATACATGAGTTATAGAGCACCAAGAAATATCTAATACAGTAGCATTTGTAAAAAAAATAATAATAATTTAGTAAATGAAAGAGAAAAGTTAAAAAAGAAATATTTAAGTGGCGTGATTCTGATTATGCTACAGTATTTTTCTCTCGTAAAGAATGAATAAAAAAAACTCTATCAATAGTTCTCTCACAAAAAATTTGAATATGAATTAAAATCACAAACTTAAACACGTGAATCAAACGGATCCTTTATGTGTATACATGTTCAAGTAATATATATCTTACCACTACCAAAGGAAGATAAATTTACTAGCATAGGAACAAAAGCTTAAAAAAATGACATACTGATAGTTTTCTACTTTCAGTTGTCGGATATATATCATAAACTATCTATTCTGCATACTTTTTTAATTTTTTATAAATTTAATATTATTCAACAGTTTGAAACTGATATTATCGATAGGACTGACCTATTAGAAAAACTTCCCAAAAAGATTTTTATAGAAAAGAAAAAAAAGGAAACTGTACAAAAATGTAATAGTGAAGTTTGTCAAAATGACTAGTGTAGAAAGTGAAATTATTTTTCAATCGATTAGCGTCAGTTTTCTTAGAAACAATACATATATATATCCACTTTTTTTCTTTTTCTTTTGGTAAAAAACAAAATATACCTAGTGAAACTGTACAAAAAGTATTAGGTGACGTTTATTTTAAGGGTTCTATTTAATTTAAGATTATAGTTCTTGATTTTACTACAGTATTTTTTTTTCACAAAAAATTTACATTTTAAAAATCAAAATCAAACTATAATTTTAAACCAATAAACTAAACGTCACCTTATATCCCAGGCCAAAAAATATATAGTGAATATTGCCAAAAAAAAAATTGATTGTGTATAAAAAGTGAAATTAATAAAATAATCTTTATTATTTTTAACAGAGTGACCCAGTTCCACAATGTAAAAAAAAAAATGATTGTGTTTAGTCGTTTCAATCAATTTTGCAAACAAATATTTGACCCATTCAGTTTCACAATGTAAAAAAA